AGCGCGAACGAAGTTCGGACACAGCAGACATCCAACACCGGCGAAGGCTCTCATCCGGGACTTTCACTCTTTCTACACAATCAGAAAGGGGGAAAGCGCCGGTAGCCCTTTCCCCTTTTCTCTCTCGCCCTCTTTCAGTAAAACGGTCTATAGGCTTCTTGCACTGACGTCATATCGCACACTTTTGAACACCAAGTAAAAGGAAGAGAGGGAAGCTGCTTTTGTAAGAATTTTGAGTGACAGGTTAATCTTCTGTAATCTTCTGGGAGGAGAATAGCGACGCCTGTGCAAAGCCGGGAGGCACAAAGGAGGATCCTGATAAGAGGGGAGCTCCTTCTTCCCCTTTTCTCTGGAGGGCATCGGGAATAACGTCATGCGCAAGCCACGTACTCCAGCAAAACGGAAGCCACCAAGCGGGAAAACCGGGAACTAGCCGGAACAGGTCGTTTTGCGCCTCTCCGCGTCTCTGGCGGCTTTCGCGGAAACGTGTTGTCGGCGCCGTGGCGAATGTAATTTGACGAAGCTCCGAATATTTCTTAAGTTTGCCTGAGTGTTCATTAGTGTGGTGAAGACTCAGTAGATTGTTTCCTTCCATCACGTGTTTGAATGCCCGTTTACTCCACAACACACTTTTTGCGTGCTTTCGATTTCTTGGATGGGGAGGAATCACGGAAACAACGTTTTGATGTCTTTTCTGTCTCGAATCACATTCAAACTGACGACTACTTGGTAACTGATAAGTGGTGTCTTTATAAGGATCGTAGAGCAGTGGACTGAGGACGACAGACGAAGTGTTTCACTGGAGGGAACACCAATGTTGCAGTCATGTGAGTGGGAAGGTTCGATAGCTGCTTTTCTTGAGTTTGGTTGTGCTCGATTAGCTCCAGGATTGAGCCACCCACGCCGGTCGGTGCGTTAATCTTGGCTGCTTTTCGCCGAAAAAGCCTATGAACCACACCGAAGGAGTTCGGCTGATTTCGCAATTACTTGATTCCGGAAAACCTGCTCGTTGCATACGATGAATGAGGGAAATTGTCTGCTTTCAAAAGGTGGGGGACGCGTCTCGCAAAGTTAGAAGCTATCATGACATTATGATCTATCGCGCCTCCAATATTTATATTATACCCCCGTCGAAGCCAGCAGAAATATATGTCTACATTGCTCAAGTTGTCTGGCCACAAAAAAATGCTCAATTACGCCATTCAGGATTCGAAGTCAAGTTCAATGCAGAGCCGCAGGAGTTTCTCCAGGAATTGAAATTAGGGAGGTATCTACATTTTTAGGGGGGGGGGGGGGGGGGGGGTTGGGGGGTGCCTTCGGAAAAACCAGGGGGGGAGGGAATACACCCCCGTACAGGGAGGGGGAGGGTGGGTGGGTGTACGGAAATGACTGTGCGGAGAGGTGCTGCGCGAATCTACGATGAAAACTCTCTTCCGTTTGTCCGCATTCGTCTCCGTGCTGCCGGCTAGAACCATTTGGTTGAGTTTAAGTAGTATCTCTCTGTCTGTCAAATATACCTTTATTCAGCAGTTCAGCTAATAACTAGTCATCTAAACTCATATTTCAACCCGAAGAATATACAATATCGCTTTAGTGGGGCAAAGTACGTATATTACATACCCGCATATTCGTCAAAATTACTTTTCTATTGCTACTAAAACCTGAATCGGTGGCCGAGTGGGCTAGCGCACACCAGCTCGGAGCACATGGAGCGAAAGCTCGCGCTGCAGAACCCAGGAATCCTGGGTTCGACCCCTACCACTGCCCGCTTCAATCTGGAGGAGCATCGTACCGGCGTGCTGTCTTGTGTCACGACTGCGTGGTGCACGTTAAAGACGCCAGGCTAGCGGTTGTATCTTACTGGCTAAATTGCTCATCTGCAGCTGAGACACTAGACGCCCACTGAGACAGACTAACTTTCGGCTGTATAAACATACACACAACAATTTGCTTTGCTTGCCGGTTTTCCTGGATGGCATTTGGAGTCTGCTCTTCACGTGACTGAATTCAACGAATAGCGGCGCCGCGCGTTCGCGGCGCGAGGAACGCTGTTTTTCCTCCTTTCCTAGAATACAGGAAAGGAGGAGGAGGTAAGAGCAGGGGAACATACGCCGAGACGCTTGCACCCAGAGCCGTTTATCGAGAGGGTTTGGCCATACATTGGTTTGAATAGGCGAGCATCTCTGGGCCAACCACAGGCCGCGAAACAGCCCCTAGCGGTGGTCGTGAGCTCTAAATTTGGGACACGACTAATTCAAGCCGTTTTAGCGTCGCTAGAGTTAAAAGGTGTAACTCTCAGTGACTGAAAACTTGGTGCGTGCGAGGTTTTCGTCACGCCAATATTCAAGTGTAGAATAAACGAACGTGCGCTCCAAACCAGGGCCAACTTGCTAGAAACAGCGTCTCAGCTGAGACGGGGAAAGAAAGCACTGCCAAGCCAGCGCACGAGCCGAGCGGGACTCCGCGTCTCCAGACGCTCAAGCGCCCACCCTTTGCACTGTTTTCTTTCCGCCAGTCACAGGACGCTGTTCCAACAAGCCAACATCAGCAGTGCAGAGAAAGGCATGGGCACGAGCGCGTGGCTTTGGAAAGTGGTTCCTATGCACGAGTTCTCGTACAAACAAAAGCGTTTTGCTGAGCTAGGTTCACGCGCCTGTACCTTTGTCTTCACTGGCGACATTTGTGAGATGGAGCAGAGAGGCGGAGATTGAACGCCTCTATTTCACGCTTTGAATGTCGTTTCCAATATTGTGACGTTGCGGTCTCCTGATTGGTCGACGCTGTGTCACAAATTTAGTTTACGCTCTAAGCGCGGGGGGAATATTCGGCGCTGGCGGCGGCCGTTGCTCCGCCTATTGGCCAAACTCTCCCAATACACGGCTCTGCTTGCACCGTCGGCGAAGCGGGCGTACCGGTGACAGGGGCGGATCCAAGGGGGGGGGGGGGGGGGGGGGGGGGGGGGCGACGGGAGCGGCCGCCCTCCCCAAACAAAGTCGACCACCCCCCCCCCCCCCCTCTCGGAGGGCGATTTTAGATGGGTGGACCCCCTGGCGAACACGAAAGAATGCGAGAATAGTATCGTTACAAATTTTCCGCCGCCTCCACAAACGGAGCTCTGGATCCGCCCCTCACCGGTGCTGCTTGGCTTTCGTAAGCAGCAAAAAAAAAAAAAAAAAAAAAAAAGAACATCGTTCTTAGCAATTTATTTCATGCTTCCACCGGGTCATTCCTATGCACTGACTAGAAGATTTTTTCCGTCGAAAAATCCTTTTGTTTTTACATATAACACCGATTTTACGCTGCAGTGCACGAAATTTATGGTGGTCCGCATGCTGAACGACGAAAAGAACCTCCTTTGGCCCGCCATTTTGCCTGACCAGCAAGCGAAGTTGCGAATATCCGATCGCCCAAACCCCCAACGCGGCAAGGGTAAAAAAAAAAGAAAGGGAGAGGATGACACGGAGGGAGAGGTGACGAGCAAGTGAATAATCCTTAATTCTAACCTGAGTATTCGTGTATTGCGACAGAAAAAGGTGGGGAACCCGAAAAACAACTAAATAGCATGACAGTATGGCAACGTTTGTCGAAGAAAACGTCAGTCGAACTTCACAGGTACGAATGTCCTTCAACCAGCGAACACTAAGGTTCGTTGGTTGAACCTTCTTGATTGAGACCGAATGTAAACGCGGAGGTTGTGGACGCGGGAAGGTACAGAACCCAGTTGGCTTGAAACTTTATAGAAGCAGTGAGAATAACACAGAGAAGGGAATCCCTGGTTCACCAGCTCCTCCAGAAGCGCAACACTGCCGTTCATCTGAGCGCGTCAGTAGAACGACTCTTCAGCGTCGCCGGAGGTGTATTCTTAAGGAAGGGGGAAACATAACTGATGAAAAATTCGAGAGGCATCTACTGCTTCAGTGCAACGACTACTGAAAAGAAAACAATAAACCACGAAACAAATGCAGTTGTGTATTTCGTCGTCAAGTTAACGAGAATAGTAACTCGCTACTTTTAAGGTAAATTGACGCGTTCTTATTGAGAATCGGCAACGAGTGACATGTTTAGTAGCTTTTTAAGCGAGTATTGAGTAACGCTTTTACTTACTTTAATTGGCTAACGTGTACATGTCTGGTTTGAAGTGCCTTAAAAATTTTCTGGGCTTCTATATAGCTGCACGGTGTTACAGCTGGTATAATGCAGGCGTCTAAATTTAATGGAAGTTTAAAACAACACGGGGCGTGGTCTATTAATATACTGCTTCGCGGTTTGTGATTCGCTCGGTGCTTTTATATGCTGATACAACAATCTAATTGAGTGTTGTGCGAGAATTCGATGCGCAGAAGTCGTCCCTTTCCGCGTTTCTCGAATTTCCAATCAGCGTTGCTCAACTGGAACTCAAACATAATTTGTACTTAGCTCAAATGACCGAAACTGGCTTCATTATGAAGTAGACTTTATTTAGTAATCGACATAAACAATCGAGCGCTAAAAGAGTGAAGCCAATACCACATAGGAGACAAAACGTGCACACGACGCCATTATTAGTGAATCCCCAATGCGCTCCAAGCGGCAAACTCCCTGAGGCTCGACGAGGGACCCTGCCTAGCGGCAGACGCTTCCTTTTTGGCGTCGAAGCGTGCTGGCGTCTCAATAGACCTTTCGCTAAATTACCCAAGAATCAAAACGAATACTGGGAACGCAGGTACACGCGCTGCAGGCGCTCGCCTTCCCTACACCAAAGATTCGAAGTAAATAACCAAAATAAAGCGTTCGTGATGCGCGCGTGCGAAATGCCATTTGTTTTATGTGTTTTCTTTCGGACAATTACAGCTGAAGAGGACAGCACGCGCAGCGCGTGAACATACGACGTTCTTTTTGATACTTGGCTGGGTGCGATGAGGACGCAAGCCAGGCGACATTGCGTGGATTCGCAAATGTGGACGTTTGGAGATTCAAGGCACACGAATTGACATCTAAGAGGCATCGGCGAAGCGCGTCAGCTACAGCCCGCCTGCGATGTCCACAGCAGCGCCCGTCATGAAAGAGCTTCCGGAGCCACAGAGGAACACGATGACGTCAGCCACCTCTTCCGGGCGGCTGGCTCTTTTTAGAGGAATGTCCTGCACCGCCTTATTTTCTTTTTCAGGCTTTCTATTCCCTCCGGCCATAGGCGTGGTCGTGAGTACCGGCAGGACGCTGTTGACACGGATTCCCTGCGAGGCCAGCTCCTTGGCCGCCACTTTGGTGAGTGCCACCACCCCCGCTTTGGACGCTGCGTATTCGCCACGGCGGGGAAGGCACAGCTTTGACACGAAGCTGGAAACGTTCACGATGGCCCCGTCGCGAACGTTTCCTGCAATCATAGCCCGCGCCGCTGCTTGGGTTATCAGGAATGTGCCCTGCGAGCATGAAGAAATAGCACGTAAACTGATGTTTAGTCGTGTCCTTTTTCCAGTAGAAAACTGGTCAAGTGTATCGTGATTGCCGCTAAATTAAAGGGATACGTATGTTAAAATCGAGATATACCTCTAACGTTCAGAAATGAGTAAAACACGATCAGTAGTATCGCTTAATGACAATCGCATATGTGTATTTTTAACGGTTGGCTCTAATTATACCTTAGATAGATATTTGCATTTACGAGCATTAATCTTTTATTGATAACTTCAGGAACCTGGGAAGCATAGTTTTTGTCGTGCATGCATTATGCCTGCGTCAAGGGTTAGTCATAATTGGTTATGAAGTTTTCTTTTTTTTTTAATTCGTTGCACCCAGGACACAATCATGCGCTGACCGGATTTATGAGAATAATAAAGACAAGCTTACATATATTCAGGAGTGGACTGTTGGATGAGTACTTTTCACTGAGAAGTTTTCACGGATTCTGAATATATAGGGTGTTTGAAGTAACAAAGGCTCGATCTTAAATGAACCGTAAAAATCGACGCCTGCCCGAAACAATCTGAACTTTTCGTCGAAGGTGTATTCCATTGAATAACGGTTAAGAGTTGAGCTTGTTGGTACATACTTGTAAATATATCAGCTTGAACTTTAGAATTAAACTAGCTTTGGTTTAAAAATAAAAGCGGACAATAAAAGCAAAACCTAAAGTTAAAAAAAAAAGAAAAAAGAACGCGGTTGCATAACAACGGCTTCTTTTGCTGCCGATGGATTTTGTCTGCCTGTCGTCTGCTTCCTTTCGCTAGTCGGCTACACCTTCGGATGCTGCACCCGACGCCATCTATCAATACGTGCACCAAACGCGCCCTGCCGCTCGACTCAGTCGTCTGAGTCACCGCCCGCCGTTGACGCTGGCAAGTTTTTTGGCCCTACTTTTTACAGAAAGGGAGCTACGCTTTGCAATTTTACAAGAAAAAAACGGACCTGGGTAATACACCTCTGACGAAAAGTTTAGATTGCTTCGTGCAGGCGTCAACTTTTGCGGTCCATTTTAGATTGAGCCTGGTGACTTCAGACACCCCACACTTTACTAAGGAATACATCTTACCCCACGACTGCTTTTGCCTAGTAGGAACGGCTAGAGGCTCACAGCCTCGAAGTTCTCTACTTTAAATTTTGAGGGGTGCCCGTCGCCATGTATCTCCGTGTAAACCCGTCGAGACATTGGAAACAGCCGTGTCTGCTGACTTGGCAAATCCGGTATCCTGGTGCGTCGGAGCGGTAGCCCTCTCCATTGGCGCAGCGGGAAAGCTAGACAGAGTCGATAGCGCAATGCGTATGCGTTTTTTCTTACGGTGGCTTTCCAAACCGCTCGGGAAAGATGTGGCGCTGAAGGCCCACTGTCTAATACACATGCATGACCGAAGTAGAACGTCTTCTCCTAGTAAAGTGTTACAATTCTGCGTTTTCCGAGGGTGCGTGTAGCGCCTTGAGTACTTTGCACCTTTGGATTTCGAGGATCTCCTTGTGGTAACAGAAGTAGTGGATGAAGTTTTTCACACCCACTAATCTGTAATGTCTGCTATGTCGTGACGTCCTATATGCACGCTGCGCTATTCTTTGGTGCATTATGATCTGCCCCCTGACTTCATAGGATCACGCGAGGAGCTTCTCTTATCTTCGCCGACGGTCGCATGTTCGCGCAAGCTCCCGTGAAACATATTTCGCCTTGCTGTTGCTCTCTGTTACCTTCACCCCCGACGCCGCAATAAAAAAAAAAAAAAAAAAAAGCAATGGCGTCGGGTTGCGGTTCTTACGGTCCGGAGTTCGACTCCTACTGAGCCGGTAACTAAATCTCGATTGTTACAATTAATTAAATTTAATTATGAGTACGTAACATTAACTAAGATTCTGTCCTTTCTGGATGATTGTGCATTGCCTTCTATGGGATCTGTCTGTGTTATATGTTGTCTTGGCTTTTGCGTAAAAATTATTTTCTCACACCCGAGCGTGACACTTTTCGAATAAAATGCAGCCCACAAACAAGTTCTGTGTTTGAAAAAGTGCGCGAGACTACATACTTAATTCAAGCCGAAGGTGGCCGATAATTAGATATTTTTTTGCGGCTGCGAGTAAAACGCATAACTGTAGTCCTATTTTATATTTGAACTGAAACACAACGAATTATCAATGTGGTTATTGCGCCGTATTTTTTTTTCGTATTTTAGGAAAGAAAGAAAAAGGTCCAATATCGCAAAGTCATTACCAGCTTACTTTCATCTGTCTCGAAGTTAGCGAAATTACCTTCAGATTTACTCGGATGACATTATCGAACATCGCTTCCGGCAAGTCAACAAGAGGGGTCGGAGGGTTTCCAATGCCGACGCAGTTGACCACGATGCTTGCAGGCTGAGAACACAACCTGGAGATGTCCTCGAAGAGCGAAGCCACTGACTTCGATTGGCCCACATCTACCTGAAGTGCTTCATGTCCTTTACCTGCGCATTTGAAACGACCAATTGAGACGACACGCATCCGTACACCCTGTTGCATTCTTCACGAACGTCGTGCTACTCGTAAGAGCGCTCAAGAGATTAGTCTTCTTTCCTCAGGCGTCACACAAACGGAAGCTCCTTCATCTGTTATGGACCGTTTTGCTGAAAGAGGTCAAGAGAGGAGCGGTGAAAGGGCCGCCACGGGCTTTCCTCCTTCCTGGGCTGGGTTTCAAAACCGAAGAAAGACCCGAATTGCGGTCGTGAGATTGTTTTTCATCGGACAGGGTCACTTTCACTCGTAGACGTCGGATGAAAAAGGTGAGCTTCCGTCCCAACCCAGCGCGGCCGCAGGAATTCGATACACTCCGGGAAGCGTTGTGGTATTCAAAAGGCCGCTGCCTACGCAGGAAACGTGGCTCGTCGGTTCGTGTACCGCCGGCTAGCGGAGTATAGACCTTCGCATATCTTATCACGGGGGGTGAAAAATGCTGAGTCACCGAGCTGTGGACGGATACACAGCGTCTGATATACCGCGCAGCAGAGCAACAGCGCATGCTCAGAAGGCGTCCCACAGCCCAGCAGACAAAGATGGCTGAGCGCAGGAGGTGAATTTTTGGAAAGGTCTATAGGGGCAAATATGAAAGTAAATCGAAACAAAACAAACAAGATGTTCATATGGGGCCGTCATCATCCTTACCCGGTAGAGACTTGGCCACAGCCGTTGCTTTTTCCAAGTTCCTACCAGCCACAACGACTCGGCAGCCTTCCTTGGCGAAGGCGAGACAAACACATCTGCCAATGCCCCCGCCACCTCCGACTACGAGAGCGAGCCGTTCCTCGAAGAAGCGTGAAGCGTTGGACATGGCTTCCAGGTCGATTTTCGCTGCGAGGCTGCGGGAGAATATCACAGGTTTGCGAGTCGTCCCTGCGCAAATATATCTAGGGCATGTGATTTTACACGACTATTTGAGTCGCATGTGCGCGCTAAGATGTACGTGTACAACGGAAAAGAGATTAAAAAAATAATTAAAAACAAAAACGGTAAGTTTTGTTTCGTTTTTTTTTCTTTTTTTAGTTTAATACAAAACGTGTTATAGGGCTTGATTTGATCTTATGGGCGTTATGTTAGTTACAATTTCGCTTTTCAGGGTCCACAAAAGACTGATTTTGGCCCGAAGAACTGTGCTACCTCGGTGTGTATATTTAATGTGAATATTGAATAGTCTATAAACAGATTAAAGTGTTCACAAATTGCTATTATTATACAGTCTCCAATCACATTTTGGTACCGGCGGAGAAAAGGCAGACGCAGTAACGGCCAGTTGAATATTAGCATTCTAAGGGGGATTCACCCCCGATTTATTTGTTGCCTTTTCCTCATACATGGCGGAGGCTTTTTCCAGAACAAACGAGTTGCATGCTCGCAGCTGCGTATGCAAGTCGGGCGCTCGGGGTGAGCTCGGGCCGCGGGCTGTACGCCGCCGATCTTGGCGAGGTAGATATTGTTCCCCCGTAGTCTGCCACTACCGGAAGGGGTCAACGACCGGCGCGGAGTACGAGCAATAAAGTAGGAAAATGGCTCCGATTTCCGACTGCCTCTGGAGTTGGAACCACTTCCGATCCATTCAAACGTATTTAGTGAACACCCTCTTTGCTGATGTTGTGTGCGTTGGTTTGCACTCGAGGTTTCAGCGTTTGCAAGTGCGTCATTTGTGTGCAGATGAAGTCGCTCATGCATCTGACGCCTCGACATCGTTTATTGGCTTTGGCGGCGTTCATCGCTTGTTTGTCGCATGGAATTTAGTTTACGACGAGTACGCAGCGGCGTGTTGTAGTATATTTTTGCAGCGCTAAGTTTGCCCTTAATCTTTGCTACACTGAGTTCAGCCTTTAGGTGCGAGCCTGTAATGACTAGCGACTAAGGCGCTGCATGCACAGCCAAGCCAAAATTCCTGCATTATCTCCCTACGGGAGCCAGAGTTGCGCGTTCATCTCCGTAGCGCCGTCTTTTCTTCACGGCATGTTGATCCCGCTCGTCACGTGACTGAATTCGGCGAACAGCGGCGCCGCACGTTCGAGGCGCGCGGCGCGCTCAAAAGCAGGGGAACGCACGCCGGGGCGCGTGCAACGTCTACTTTCCTGCACGGCACTTGATCCGGTTCCTCACGTGATCGCGCAACTGTGGCTCCCCTAGGGACAAACCAAGCTGGTGCATGCTGGGCAGCACTTGAGCCAAAAATGGCGGAGCGTCGCCGCCAATCTAGTTTGGCGCGGCGCCGGCATCAGTAGACCAATCGGGGCTTGCTCGCAAATTGGAACGCGTCACCGGCAGCCAGAGCATACCAATAGGAGAGTGCGTCATGAGCGAAAAATGGCGACGCTTCGCCCGCGTTTCATAGGAGCGCCCGCGGCGATCAAGCTATGGCGGTACTTGGATAAGTCAGGAAATTCAGCGCTTTACTAAAGTCAGTAATGCACGAGTCACGGTCGAAGGTAGAAAATAGCTTCTGACCGTGGTGCCATTTTCACGGCTCGTACGTACGGCGCCTGCTTTGCTCCCTTTAGGAATTGACGAACATGTGCGTGCTGAGCTATGAAAATCGAAGGCTCAGCAGTGCGATCTTCACAACCCAGCCTTTTGTAAACAAAAAGCGTCTGGCCGGTGTGAACCTCAGCGTTCGAGCGTATGTACGGTGCCTTGCTCGCATTTCAAAACCACGAAACATTATAGCAGTCTGCAGACTGTGATTTTGTAAACATAGAAAGGGTTGATGAGCATATTTCGGCATCTGCTCATCAGCGCTAATAAAGCGTAAAAAAAAAAAAAAAAAGACAGTGCATTAGATTTAGCGTCTTGTCAAAACGCTATACTCCGCTTCACCTTATGTTGTACCGCAGCGAAGGCTAGAAGCGCGAGCTCATAGCGTTGGCAGCTGCCCTTGGTGCACGGGAGCTTGTGCCGCCGAGATGTGCCCTAGAGCAAGGAGCTCTCGCTTGTAGCCTCTCCTGCGGTACAACACAAGGTGAAACAGAGTATAACAGTAGTTTCCTTTCGCCTTTGTTTTTGCAGAATTATTCATTTTATTTCACGTTTATCGCCCGCGTGCAACGTGAGCGAGTGTGCTGATCCGCAGGACGATTCTGTAGGAGCGAAGAGCGCGCGTGCACAGCTTTGAGCGATGCTCAAAGCTGCGCTACACCAGCTGCGCGACTGCAGGGTGCCTGTAGCATTGGCCTCATAGCCAGGGAAACTTGTGCTAGATTTGTGCCAACGTTACTAGAACAACTCGGTTGGAAAAACTGCCATAGAGCCTATTCTGAAAAAAAGTTGCACCGATCTGTACTTGAGAACCGAACTAATAGTGATCGCAACGCCGCCATTTCTCCCGCAGTGGCCATTCGGGGAACTGCACGGCTACTTGTAATGGTTCGGGAGTATTGCACTCGATTGTGTCCGCTGTGACTTTACTATTTTGGTTTTAATCGGCAATTTCGGCGCCGGAACGTATACAGAGCGCTGCCAACCACAGTCTCCCAAGCGGACGCTACGCAATTATTTACTGCAGTTAGGACGCATTCAGGTCGGGACGCGCTACCTGATGTCACCGGGGAGACATGGCTGTATAAAAACAATATTGCTTGTGCCGGAAACTCCCGTAAACTAAAATTGTGCGCAAACATCACGCTCCTGCCATGTACCAATCTCCAATAAAAGTTCCTACAAAAAGCGATTTTTTCGCTTGGATTCACGCAAAAACATGCTTTCTCAAAGCTCATGGTCACCACAGTAAAAAAAGAGATTGAGCCGTCATTTCGGCACCTTGAGCTTGGGAGTCTCGGTACCTTGGGAACATTCAGTGGTTCTACCAGTGCCATATAAAGCAAATTTAATGTTTTAACTCGTCGCTAAAGGGTTTTGCTGTTATCGTGTTTAGCCAGTCTCGGTGGATGCCAGTGGCCCAGGTTTCTAGGCGGAGTTTCGCAACTGGGTGTTTTAGTAACGCTGATTTCTGCCAAGCGAATGGTGCACGTCACGCGCCGTATACTTTGAACCCGAACGCAGGTGTGATCGGTTTTAGCGGATAACTGCAAGAATTTAGTGCCGTTTTGAGAATGGGTCTGCATAAACCCGCATAAATTAATCAAAGCCTGCGCATTGAAATCTTGATGTCATCCCAATGATATTCAACGCAGATACAAATTGGACATGAGCGCAGCGTCAACGTTCGACTGGAAGTTGTGTCCAGTCAGCCTGTCGAAGGATGCTCCGCGTCGGGCTTCGGCCCAATTAGTGAGCGGGCGCCATTCGAGTGTGGTGATGCACCGTTGAAGAAGACGAAGTTGTTCACAGGATTGTGTGGGACAGCAGTCTGAGAGGATGAGACGAGACATGTATGACGTAGTGATGCCGTGACAACGCACATTGCCCAACGTTGTCAATGGGAGATTGGTGGCCGGTGGGCTAAAGTGCACATCCAGCTCGAAGCGCGTGGAGCGAAGGTCCGCACTGCAAAACCCAGGGATCCTGGATTTGAGTCCCAGCCCTGCCCGTTTCAATCTGGATGAGCATCGTACCGGCTTGCGGTCGTGCATCACTACTGCGTGAGCACGTTGAAGACCCCAGGTTAGCAGTCGTACTGCACTGGCAAAATTGCTCATCTACAGTGTAAACCAGTGTCGCCCCATCCTGGCAGACCGACCTTACGCTGCATAAGCACTAAAACGTCCCATTTGAACGTTGACAATGCCTCAACGCCGCGCAACTCCTTTTTGGCAGCGACCCATCCGAGCAGAGTGGCCCAGGCCTCCAATCCAGCTTGCTTTCGATGTCATTTCAGAAAAGTGAAGAGTGCAAGGGTACAAGCGTACAGATTTGAGCATTGCTCAAGCTGAGCGAGTGCACGTACGCCAAAAGATTTGGCAATAGCCTCTTATTATATTGGATTATGCATTGACTTCATAGCCACCGAAAGTGGTGTCAAGTATACGGCGTGCGACACGTGCCGTTTGCTTGACTGACTTGACACCGGATGTGGCCGAGATCGGCTTTGCCCAGCGGTTTTTCTGGAGAATTGCGAGATATCATTGCCGTCTAGACTTTGAGAATGGCTTTGAGACAATGCATGTAGGACGTAGTGATGCCATGGCAAGGCGCAATGCCTTGTTAGCGCTTCCGCGCGCTTGTCTTTCACTTTCAAGAGCATATGACTGCGGCCGGGGCCGCGAGCTATTCCAGAACAACTATAACAGCCAATGCAGCACCACCTGACATGGGTATCCGGGAATCGCAAGGCAAACCCGGACATTAACATCCCCTCAGTGCTGGATCAACTCTGATGGCGTGTAGCGTCCTCATGATGCGTCTCGGCTACTGCAGTGGAGCCTTTTTATGTGTTTGCTGATTAAACAGAGTATTGCATCTCTCGGCAACTGTGAATGGCAGCCGCCCTAATATATACCTTGCGTTTTTGTTTCCTGTTATTCCTATTACCTCACTTCCTTTTCACAGCAGGTCAGGTTATTGCCATTTTCGATTCTACCATGTCCCTCTTCCAGCATCGGCCTTAGTGAAGAGGCTTGTCAATGCCCGTTTCAGTGGCTTGGTATGTCGGTAAGACAAGACCACAGTGACCGTGGACAAAACAAAGTCAGCAATGGCGGTTGTAATCTGGCGCGTGTCTAAAGCACGTGGTCTAAAGCGTCTATGTACTCAGGGCTTTATTTCACCATAAGTGCAAGCAAAGCCGGAAGCTCGAGCGCATTGATTTTTTGGCCTGTAGTGAGTCGTCCCACCAGCTGCCATTATGGTGGCCTTGGTATAGAGTGTACTCTAAGGTACGAGTGGGACGAGCTACAGGCTCCGCTTATGCTTTCAGTTGCACCTCAAAATG